TACTTACTACATACACTAGTAAGCAGAGAGACCAGAAACTGGACAGGAATCTCAACAATGACACATCACAGCCAGCACGTCACATCCCAGCCAAAGTAAGCGCGCCCACGCGTACACGCACAGAGAGCTAACCTACTCACGCAAGCTGGTTGCAAGTGCCTGTCAACTGACCTTAGGAACACACCTATCAGAAGCCGTGATGTTGAACCCAAATGACACTGCACTGGTGGACTCGTATTCAAATGATTGTACAAATCCTTGAAAAAGGTTGGTCACGACAACTGAAACGCCGGTGTATAACGCCCTGTTCCACTTAGCTTTGTTTTGACTTTGAACTTTTCGTATTATGCATCAAATGCCGCTCATCTGTTTGACAAGATCCGATCCGAGGGTGGCCCGAAACTCCTAATGGTCCTAACACCCTCCTCGAGGTAACAACTTACCTTCAGCTGCCTTTTCTCAACATTACTTTTATCCCAATTCAGAAGATGCTTCTCATCTTTGATAGCCTTGAAAATCTGTGCAAATACCTCAGTATGATGAGCTCAAGTGATGATCTACACCCTATTGCGCACTCAAAATGAAGACGTTTTTGTGCCAGCTCCACAATGCGGAATTAGAACTGTAAAATGCAAAAACTGTAGTCTAGATATGGTAGGAAACTGCCATTAAACCCAGTGAAGATCAAGAGAACGTGAGATTTTTTACCCTAGTTCCGAACAGTAGCCAATCACAAATTGTAACCATACATGCAACGCTACCTAAATCACGGACCGAAATGGACACTAACTAACGGACATCACTACGTTGTACGACATTGCTAGTGACAACCATTCTTCAACGTGAATTGAGGCACGTGACAGAGGATAATGTCATCGCGATGACCCACCGCTAGGAATGGAAGAATGAAAGTATTCGTTGTCAGATCTTACTTTTCATGTCAAAGACCATAATAGATAGGAATCATCGAAGCGCTTTGGTATTCTGGAAGCCTTGTTCGTGAATGGGCTATATAAGTGGACTTTGTTAGACCAGTAGTGAGCGAAACAGACGAATTTCTTTCGGACTCTTTCCCAAGTGCATCCATACACTTCATTTTCGTTCATCAAAGACGCACTGTAAGTTTTCAGACGATGGCGATGATGGTTTCTATCAGAGGATCTAGCAAAAACGATCCATCGTCCAGAAACTTCTTCGTAATTTTGAGTAAAAATGTGCGTATGCACATTCTTACTTCCCTCTGAGTCAGCGAGCTTCACGAAGACATTAATCAACCACACAAAAATATTGCCTATGCGATGTCAGTGTGCAAACTGGGAAGAATCAGGTACACAGTCTCGCACTATCGTTAAGTTTCTACTCCAACGGCTGCAAGCATACACGCTCTATTTGACTCGTAAATTGCACAAAAGGTGCCACATATTTTGCATTCCGAATAGCTAGTGGCATCAACAACAGTCCAGTCATCAAAGGTTGATGCGGCCCAGATCACCTCACAGTTGCACAATGGTGGACCACCTGCCACAGGTTAATGGATCCGAGGATACTTAGTTTGACGAGTTGGTTATAACGAAGAAACAAATTTGCTAGGATGTTGCTTGGACGCATATATGGTTTTAAGTCTGGAGGCCAAACAGCACGGAACACTTCAGCAGGTGAGAGCCAAACACTAAGCTAATCATTTGCTTTGCGTCCCGTTCTTAAACCTCGTGAGCAAGATTTTCTTTTCATATTTAAGCCCACTTCTAGGAGGATGAGACTATCCAACTTATGCAAGCTGGATGGCGAGAGCATTTAGAACACGAGTTAAAGTTGCCTCAAAGCTTCCTTATACTTTTTCTTATTCATTAAAAAAAGTGAACGCTATGATGAACTAAACCGACTGTGTCGCCAAGCAAACTGTTGCGAACTTCTTGAGTACTTTAATGGCTATTCAACCACATAAACGTGTACTAGTGATGAGTCAGGGATTGGATCCTGCAACCTATTTCCCGACTTCGCCCCGTCGCCAGTGGAGAATTGGAGAATTTCATCAGGGCGCCATTGATGAGCTGAACAAAAACGATAGTGTCCAGCAGCCCAACAAAGATTGTGACCGGTGCGCATATAACACTCGTGAGACTATTGCACTGTAATAAATTCTATTGTTGAAGAACGAAATTCAGTCTAACTGACTCCTGACGGATATCCTAACACCACATCATTTGCACCAGTCGATAACGTCCCAAGTCCAAAGGTGATAACATGCCCAAACTCAGAAGCTTATTGACGGAAGCAAACACAACTCCCAGTACACTATGTTAAAAAGTTGTAATCCTTGCTACCTGGCTGCCTCTCACCTGGGTTTCGGATTAACATTGTCCCCTTAAAAAGAGCATCTCTCCTCATTCATTTATAGAAGAGAAGATTGAGTCGAATCAGAACTAAATGAGGTCGAGAGATGCGTCAGTTTTCATGAGATAGATAGATACACCGGATGGTATGATGTACTGATAATGTGATTACTCAAGAAGTGATGTTTAAAGCAAATACACCGTCAAGTTTTACTGAGCAAACTTATAGACAGTTCAGCATAATCACCTTGGAAGCCATCGTGATTGATATCACCGAGTTCAGCCAGTGTAGCACCATACCCTGACATTGGTCAGCCTCGNCTTGTCCGGTGGGAACAGCATCTGGTGGTTTTCGTAGGTAAATGGCTCGAAGCCCGATTGATGACTAAACGGTTGGGGGAATTGACCTTGGCGATTTGTGAACACGAACACCGCACCATACTGCGGTTGTCCGCCCGCCACTGCTTCTATTTCTTGATACGGAGCACCGACGATCAAGTCTTCCCACCTAGTAACCATAAGGATGGTGAAGGTAGATAAGAAGAAAATAGCAAAAAAGCACCCAGATTTCTAGTGAACAGAACATTCATAATGTGCGCGTCTGACGGAACTAGCTGTTCATTCAACTGAGGAGACTTTTCGCATTTGGATTTTCAACTCATTAGTTCGCTGTCTTGAAAAATTATACCACGTAATCTGTGTAAAAAAATGGGGGTAGAAGATTAAAAGCGGCGTTTTTAGGTCAGTCACTGGATATTGCAGGTGTTGCCAAATCAAGTGATCAGTTCACCACTGGACGAACTCCAGCATGCGACGCATTGGTGACACTATTTCGACGAGTTTGAAGGTTAGCCGTCTTCAGAAACACAAGATGCTGCATCAAGCACTCTAGTTCTTCCTTAATAGCAAGCGGTCTCTGTTCATTTGCCGGCTTACTTAGCATGATTTAAACACAGTCAAGGAATGAACTGAACTTGCATACCTCCTGATGGAGATAGGATTCTGAAAACGCTTGTGCAAGCAGACGTACTTTTCTGGACGCCCAATTAATATGGACCAGACACTTGCAAAAATCTCGAAAATTCCAACCATCGTTGTGCTCAGCGTCTTTTGGGTGATAACGCATTATAGAATATTGGCAGTGAAGTTGTATGTGTGGTTACTAGGTAATGAGAGGCCGTTCTTCGAGCAGCCAATTTGACGTTCTCAGATGAAGCCTACGGAAAACTTCTTCTGGTCGTCCCTTGCTGTTTTACATAAGACTTTATGAAGGGACAAAAGACAATTGGGCACAAAATGGTGACATTGAACTAAACGCGATGAAAGGACCAAACAAGTCTATTAACGAGAGGCCTAGAAATTCCAAAACCACAACCGGGCTAATTGGCTTGAATGCCATGACGTTTGGCGCCGACTGAATTATGTCCCTCTACTGTTTTGTGCTGTGTAGTTCTGAGGTGATTGAGAAGTTCTGCTGCTGTGTGATTAGATACAATTCTCTAGTGTGCGCGTTTCAGTACTTCACATGAAATGATATCTAGTGTGTAACAAGATTGCTGTTAGAACCGTCATCCTAACTGCATTGTGCACACGTCGACCCAAAAGGTCTCTCTTCGATAACGAAATGTGCCAACGAAATGTGTCAGCAAAGTAAAGTTCGATGTTTGGGAATATTACGTTGCCATGCTGGTTCTTCCAAGAAAAGCTAGCGGTGGACACTGTATATCAACTGTCCTCTTAGTTGTCTAGTTTTGGTCTGCAACATGTTTAACCGTGAGGCCATAGAAACCACAAATTCGGTGAACGAAAATCAGGAAACATTAGGTAGACATCGTAGACCAAAGTAATTAAGCCCTAACTGATAGCACCGTTCTCTTAAAGAGGTTAATGAATGACATCTACTAACCCCTGCGTGTACATGGCGTAAAGAACATGCCATCATTTTTGTAACCTCCTTCCGGACTGAAGCCAGAGGAGCCGCTTGGAAAATCCAAGGATTGCAACATCATAATCCCTTCAAACATTTCTCAGTAATGGATTTAATCATGCCATGAGAGGTCAGTGCAAGATTCACAAACAAAATTTTTTAACTGAAGCCCTGCCAACTGGTGTAAAGTTGCCGTTGCGTATGGTCGAGCGAAGAGAAGAATCCCGTTCATATATGGTTCGGAAGAGTGAGCTCCTTGCCATCCACTCACCTGAAAGGTGGGGGCTCAGTTTAAACTGTTATCTGCATTCCAACGTCCGAATTGCGCTTAAAAACTGTAACAGATTTCATTGATTCGACTCACATATACTAGGAAATTTGCAATCCGTATATAATATTTTCGTATCACTGGCAACTCAACTTTTCGAAATTTCACGGCAGCTAAAATCAGAGACATCCCTGGCGCGCAACACAAACTCCAGGGAAGCCCCCATTTATATTAGTTTAGTTTGATGACTGGCATTTTCTACATTAATCTGATTATGTTTCGTCGCACACTCCAGCTAGTCAGCTGAATGTCTTTATACTACTTACTCAATTGAAGTTTCAAAAGATACGCTAAAACCGCATATTCGACAGTTCATTTCAACCATCGAGACAAACGGCTGGAAAATGGCTAGAAGCACATCCAGATCATATCATCAATATGCCCAAACGGTTTCTATCAGAGCAGCAAAGATAACATTCTATATGCTTACTGAACTACGACAGGTAGTGTTTAACAGCCTATCTAGGTATGATAAACAAGATGAGCCAAAAGACCTTCATCAATTAAAAGCAATTTGTCGAAGAAATCACTAAACATTTTTGAAAGAGGTTTCCAGAATTCAATGTGTTTATCGGATGAAACAGATGAAAAACATGAATGGAGCTCAGAAGATAGACACTGGTTACCTACCCATCATTGTTTATGTCAACCAATAGTACAGCATGCCCAAAACGACTTGCGAACTGGTTTCCGTTGATTTGGATTACAGGATTCAAATCGGTGCCACTGTCCACATCGGAACTGTGATAGATAAGAACTATGCCCGTTCCAACATCTTTGGCTTCGTTGGCTGTAACCGGCACACCTGGACCGCCATAGGCCACGTAAACTGGAGGGTCCGGTCCATATTGAGGGGCGAAAATCCTATCCGAAACGTCAAGTGCAGAACCTGTACAACATACAGCAGAAGGACGTAACATGTAGCTGTAATTCAGTACAATCTAGAACTTTATCTTGCTCAATCCGCGGCAATGTGACTGAATGTTTCGGTAAAGGGGTTTTGTTGTTAATAACCCTAACTGGGTCAACATAGAGGGGTGGCTGATAGCTCAATCGATTTGGCAGTGACAAATTCGTGTATCAGTATCATTTAGTAGTGAAACACTTGGATATTTGGATTTAGCTTCCTCTCCTCCAGTTGCATTTGGTAGTGATCACTTGTCAAGCCAAGTGCGGTTTATATGTGAAACACCCGTTTATAGAAGCCGGCTTTTTCTGGAGTTCCTTATAGTTGGGGCTGCGGACTCATTCTGTCGAAAGACATTTGATGTATCGCCTAACTCAAGCTTTTAGCAAACACTCACTACTGTCGACCGAAAAACGCGGGTCGGTTTTATCCAGCTGGTTCACCGTGTGGTAAGGAAACAACTTCCTAGTCTCTACAAAGGCTCTCGAGGACTTATTCTTACATAGCAACAGACAATGATTATTGGGAAATCGAGGACTATGGACTTATCGCACGCTTCGCCGTCACATCTAATACTGTATTACCCTCCGGTAATACTTCAACTGTGCTCCTGCCCAAGATCAAATTATCGCCCACGTCACGTTCACTCAGGAGGAGTTCTTTTTTGTCCCGGGTTAGTGTGTCCATTGTGATTACGATGTGAAATCACCGAAGCGGAAACTAGTCCGTTATTCCGAGTCAATGCCCGAGAAAATTTTTATTCTAACGTTTCCTTTAGGGAGAACAATGGCGTCTTCACCTTGTTTCGGGATTGGAACTCGTACTCCCTAAAGAGAAGTTGTCTCATCGACCAAGAGATTCCCTATTAAAGCGCAGCTGTGAGAGAGAGGAATAGTGACAAACTTTAGCCTCCCTTAATTTCCAAACTGATAGTTAAGTAGTTTCTATAAGCAATAGCACTTTGTTCTACGGACCGTCTGCCAAAAAACATCTCTAAAGCTCAAGGAGTATGGTGACCTAACAACACCAGATTTAGTAAGATTGTTTATTCAGGTATCAGGCTAGTAGTAATCTTATTCCGGTCAACTTCTGATTTAAATTGGTCCTATCAATACACTGGTTTCCATAAAGTCGTTCATATAGGTCGGCTGTTAACATATATTCCGGGTCGGATCACCAAGTGGGGTGACATCCACTGAATTCATTAAACCGCTAGTTTTTCCTACTAATACAGGAACGATGTGGTGCTAAGCAATAAAACCACTCGACAAGTCGTTCAGTTATAGCACCCTTTCGGTGACTAACTGCCGTGCTACCATAAGGAAGCACGGGGGCTGGACTACTGCCAGGTTAGTCAATCCTAGACAGGGTAAGTCGGGTGGCAGAGGCCTAGTTCGAACCAAGGATCTTCCCGTCAGTAAATTCGCGCTCTAAACACTTGGGCTATCTCGCCCCACACCCGAAAAGTTTCCTGGATCATTTGAAAATGTGCACAAATGATATGTTTGTTCGTGCCTTAGTTCTTACATCGCTATCTCGCCCACACCCGAAAAGTTTCCTGGATCATTTGAAAATGTGCACAAATGATATGTTTGTTCGTGCCTTAGTTCTTACATCATTAAATTTCTGGGATAAGCTGGTCTTTCTTTTCAGGTACACGTTTCCCAGAATAGATGTGACCAACAGACTATTCAGATAAGTTCATTTTCTGGACAGTGATTGGTACAAACATTATGTCAGGTCACAATGTCAGACAAGGTTTTGTAGCTTGAGGTGGTTATAGTCCAATGGCCTCCTCAGAATAAATTTAGAATCCTGAATTTGTTTCACCTTGTGAAGCCATCTAAAGTGGATCGTCGTGATCAACATCATGCTCCTAAGGATCTTGGATCTAGAAGCTTGGACATCTAAGGAGTAACCATCACCGGCAGACCATGCTTCCCGTAAGTAAGGAACGCGGATAAATTACTATTAAGTAAAAAAATTTTTCCGCAGGATATAATAGGCTACATCCAGCGAACTGGACAGAAGTGCTGAAAATCTTTTCATCCGATTGCACGGTTTTCACGTGAACTAGCTGCAAGATCAGAAACCCCTAATCTCGATGACAGCAGAAGCCGCAGACTGTCGCACTGGTACTCACTTCGGCCAGGCTGCACCATTCTAAACAGTCTCCACATACACGCCAGCATGTTTACTTTTAGCAGGCGTCTAACTGAAATTGTCGGACTGTGGTCTCCAGTGCGCTTTTTGGAATAGTAGAGCATTTGTCAGCGTACGAAGGATCCGAATATTTGCTCCAGTCCTTACCAGTTTTTCCAAGAAACAGAAGCCAGCTATTCAGCTGAAGGCGACAACATCGTCGTGTCAAAACTTGTTAGGGTAACCAGGAGCCTTAATTACTATATCAAAATCACATTTACCAGGGTTCCGTTCCGAGCACTTCATCAAATCGTTCTTCGTCGTCGAAAGAGATCTGCAAATCACCAAGTGAAATGTTTCGATCTGTTCAGACAGAGTCGGCTGATTGATAATCATCAGGCGATGCATGACGTAAGTTTCATACGTACTGATGTCACAGAACACACGTGCCACTGTTTCTGATAGGTATAGTGCCATATGAGGTTACCAACAATGCTCCAGAATCTAAAATTCTCGTTTCGATTTTCGCATTCTCGTCCGCATTAAGATTACTCACATCCACACGAAGGGTTGTGCGTGGTCTTCACAAAAGACGCCATTATCAGACACACAGATCTCCTCCGAACTCCGCATTTTATAGCGATTTTAACTGCACATGAAACTAGCAGGCATGACTCGGATGTACGTTTGCTCGTGTCTTGTGACAACAGTTTGCCAGGGGCAAGTGAAGTCTTCAATCGATAGTTTTAATTCTTCCAGTCCTATGTATACACACTGACCACTGAGGGTCAGCAGACACGGTTGCCAAACATAGGTTAGAAGGATTTTGTTTTCCAGCGAATTTGTACACCAGGGATACACATAACATGAAGGAACGTTTTCGGGTCCACATTCTGTGCAGTTTATCTGCGCTTTCAATGCACATAGATCTCTTAGTCCGCTCTGTTGAAACAAGTGTTTAAACAGTTAAACTGGCCACAAAATCAGGTAACTCGTTGCAACCACGCAGCAACTAGTTTTATTGGACCGGTTTTCAGATGAATAAGGTGAGCATATCCGTTTACAACTGTGAAAATTTGCAACTTCTACTTGAAACTATCACAGGCTGGTGAATCGTGGATGGGAATAGCAGCACAAATAAGACAAGATCAGAAACAAGCTCCTGGGCAAGAATCGACTTTGTGCTTCGGGAAAAGATTTCGTACAAGCTTCTCGAATATGTCCTGGACTCCATATTCCGTTAAGTCAACATCTTTTGGGTAGTTGAAAGATACGGTTGTCCCGTTGTATAGCTTGAACTGGAAAACCAATGAATCTGCAGACAGTTCCGGCGTGTCGCCCATTGTGTAGCCTGTGCAGTGGCTCATCCGTCAAACAAGATTTTTGGTATTCCGGTTTGATTCTAGCTACCTGATGTACACTACTCGAAACCGCCTTACCAGAATATCTAGTATTTTGTGGAAAAACGCATCGCCCGTGTGTCACAAAGTGTGAATACCAAGAGAAATTGGATTCGTTTTATTCTGAGGGGTCATCTGTCGTCATTTGCAAGGTAGACGCAAAACCATGGCTGATAAGGCGTGTTAGCTGCACCTTCGGGTCGGAGATCACTCTTAAAAGTTGGCGACTTTATTTGATTTCACGTGACAGTGCCTCGGAATGATATCAGTAGTCACATTACGTGTTCTTATCCCATCAGACGTTATTGGACAACTCAGAGTACGCTTTTTTGCGCATACCCACAGAGAAACCGAATTACTTTAAACGTTTGCATCCAGATGCTCGCACTAAATCGTCAGTGTGCTCAATGAAGTTGTCACCCCACCCGGGAGTAAGCCACATGCTATCTTAGCAACAGCCAATAGACTCATCCAAACTACCAAACCTAATGCCCATTTATTTCCACACTCCTGCAAACAGAAGCAGCCAACTAGTGATCTAGTGAACTAGATGGTCTTGGATTGGTGCAAAATATAGAATGAGGGGAAGAGTGACATCAGCTTGTTCCCACGGAACTTCATGATTCATACAGAGACCATGACGAATGGTTCATTGATTAAGTGCCATAATGTGAACGTGCTAATAACCTGGAAGATAGTTCTATAGGATAGCTACCGGCAAATGGAAACGTTACTGATAGAATGACCGTCTGTGAAGGTGAGCTGAAAAATGACATCATCACGATGTGGGCTCAACGTCCTGTTTTCTTTCACTGTGCTCAATGACCACGCTTTCTGTTGACCAGTTGCTTGTATTCGTACCCGAGCCCGTACCCGAAGCGATGTGTTGATTGCTGCTAAGTCGATCGGTTAGGCCAGAAACCAGACGATTATTTGATGAACAGTTTTCTTCCATCGCAGAATTCACTTTAATTGGTCAACTAGAGACGGTCTCTTCAGATGTCTTACCACTGCAACTCTTTACTATACATACCGTCTTGATCGCAATAAGTCTGGAACGGTCGCTTCGGGTTATTGCTCAGCGAAGTAACAAAAATCGTCCTTATATGCATGTTCACAACAAATTTTAGTTCAAAGTTTACAAGCATTCTCCCGTCTGCTGCTGTTTTCACCACACTACCTGCCAGGAAAACAGCATGCAACAAGCTGCGCATCCGAACGCACACCTTATGTCTAATGAATACCTGTGACCTCATGCAAAACCCCTGCGCATGAACCGAAGCGCCTTATTTAGTCGCGGATGCGTAACTCACCCGACAGCCCACATAGTGAGTCACGGTGAAGGTGAAAATCTAAACGTGGCCCGATCGGACCACGCTTCCTTTGACATGGCCGTGTTGACCTTATTAAGCACGCACTGCCTTCCAGAGCGATGCGACCGCGTGTCTGATGACTCGGTTGACTTTGAGAGAAATGATTTATGATGACCTTACTTAACTATCCCGCAGTCGTTATCTCTACCAATCCCATCCCTGCATTAATGGGTCAGTCAAGTGGTTAACTGGTTATTCTTCCTGAAGGAGTTATTTTTAGAACAATCAAGCGGCCCACCTCAGAAAAACCAGACGGATATGCTTTTGACAACAACTTACCAAGCAGTGTGTTCGGTGGTATGTTCTCCCTGGATGTCTGCGTTCTTGAAAACTTCTCCGTGTCGAGAATGGCACCCATACCTATGGGCGAGAAGGAAAATGTTGGCAAAAATAAAATCCAACAAGGCTTTGAATGTCCGGGCATTTTGCGAGTAAAGATAAGAAAACAGCAATCACAGTATGCCTAACTAGAATGAAGAACTTCCCACGCAATAAACACATCATTTCTGCCTTCCTTGGAACACTGCTAAGTGTTTGCTGAAGGATCATAAACACCTATGATGGAGAGACTAACAGTAATTGGAAAGTTGTCTCTTTAGCAAATGTTGATATTTTACGGTGTAGTCCCTCAGATTTATAAAACAACAGTATTCTGCATATTTGTCGAAAAATCACTACGTGCTTACGACTCTGCTTGGACTTACCTTTGGCATAGTAAAAGTACGGTCCACCCATAAACAAGCTATTGGGACTTCGGGGATGGTGACCAACTGTGGCACCGATAGTGCAGTGTCGCAAATCAATCGATTTGGCTGCCTCTGGAATATCCTGACAGAAAGACATGGAAGACTGAAATGCCTTGGGGTCTTGTAAATTCGCGTCCAGCTGAAAACATCCGCCAGTCACGTAGTCTGATTGCACGATGGATCTGGTGAGTTTTGGTGCACAAACCTGCGGGGAAGAATCCATTTGACAAGCAAATTGTGACTGTTTGTTAAGTGAATACATAGATGTCTTCGTAGAGGATTGCCTAACTCTATGAAGGGAAGCCTCGACCAGGAAAAATTCAACTCGTTCTTCAGGAAATTGCTATTATGGCACTTGTAAAAATAATAATAGGGAAAATCGGCAGCGACTACTGAGCTTGTCTACCACAAATTGGGAGTCTTTTTGTAAGCTCCACTGTGAATGATTTTTCAGATGAACTGAGGACTGGAACAACGAAGAAAGGAAAGGACAGGAAAGGAAACTACCCACAAGATTGCTGGAAAATCTTCGACATAAACGAGAGACTCAGCTGAGTCTTCCGTGAAGGCCAGATTGATATGTAGGTGAGTGTATTTGTCTAATCGAATGCACTTGTCACCGGACCTATGAGTAGTATGGAAACATATTTCGACACGACGTATATCATTCCAGCTTGAATAGGATGTGACCCTAGTGTAGCATATTCATTTGAAGGATTCTACAAACAAAGAATCGCATGAATTTTAGCCGGGAATCGGGTTGAATATGGTTGCCAATGAGTATCAGTCACCAAGTACGTGCAACCCGGTGTCCGCTTAAACGACGTGACAGAAATTTGAGGACTAGTTTTAGTTAGTGGGTCTCAAGAGTGCCGAAACTATGTGTCGGACACACTCCAGAGTTGATATCGATATCATAAGTAGAACCAAAAAGTTACTGTTTGTTTTAGGGTACTCCAGCTCTCCGAACATGCCCGATCCCGTGATCAGAACCGGAGAAAAACTGTTAGATTACAAACATACACATTGATACAACTCCGCAAAGTATTTGAACTCATGACTGACATGAACATTCTAACTTAGATTTTTCATCCTAAATCACGGTAACTGTGAAAGCCATTCAGATCTCTATTTTAAACACAAAACGAGCCCAATACATGAAGAAATTAGCGTTTTCTGTGCAGAGTAGGATTGAACTCAATAGGTGGGTCAGTTTGTCGAGTGGAAATATCATTTTTCAGTGACTTGAAAATAACCACACGTTGCAAATAGCCGCCACAACAGAACTTGTTGTAGAATAAAGCCATGATTATCGTCATTTAGGGTCACATCAGGCGGACCACAACTCTAGGCAAATACCAATTACTTGATCAAACACAATCTCAAAACCACGGCAAGTTGCTAAATCATTAAACAGTTTGTGACAGGTCGCCGACGTTTTGTTGATGCACGGTTTCATGCACATTTACCGCTTGACAGAATAACTATCTTGTTGGTTACCATATTTCAAGTTAGTTCCTTGTGACGACGCAAGTGATAAATGTGTCTAAAGATTACGTTGTGTATCTCCACCCTTTTTAGGCACATAAACCATGCTCTGCTGCTGTGTGGTTACAAACCCCTCCACAGCGTAAAGATTCTTGGATAGTCAGGTGAAATAATTGTTATCTAATTCCACACCTATTGAATACTCTTTGGTCTTGTCTTACCTACCAGTAGAAGGACATTTTTGAAGGCAGAATTTGACCTTCAAAGTGCGCACACTGTAATAAAGTATGCTGATGTACATACCATCTGAGGTGACCTGTAATCCGGGACACAATGCAGGCTTGGATACAGCAGCACGTCAACAACTTAATGACCACAGCAATATGGGTCAACAATCAGTAGGGCGTAAACTTGTATTTACAGCGTCGGGTAAGGCAAAATGTGAATTCCGTGAAAAAGGTAGCTTTGGTTTCACTTGCCAAGGCATATCAGCTGGATACACAATTTGGCTTTTAGAAACCTTACGTTAGTCCTTGCCAGAGCAACATACATTTGAGCTTCAGCCTGTAAGTGATACACTGAACCCTCCCCAAACAGAGCACCTTGTTGTTCAGTCTTGAGTCGGGTTCTTCGATCGGCTTGGCAGTTGGTTTGCGGACGTTTCGTCAAAAATCCAGATGACACCTTCAGCGAGTTATTTTAAAACGGCGTGAACCTGTGCATCAGTGGCCGTGAGTTTATTTTTGTGTACGCAGGTTTATATAAGTGCTTATGAAGGAAGTGATTATTGACGGAAGACTTCCAAATTACGCATATCAAAGAAAGGCCCAAAGATAATGAATATTGGACCACTATAGCAACCACCGGTCGAATCAAAAGAAGGGCTACACTCATAATGTACTCAGAAGAACAGAAGAATACTGCAACACAACGGAAGTGGTAAGAAAAAACGACTTATATCAAATATTACGGAAAAACTACTACCCAAGGAAATTGTCTCAGAGGTAGTAAGAGAAACAACAGCCAGAATAGACAAGTGAACGGATAGTTATCTTCCTCATCACAAACGTATTTGAACGCGATGGCAACTAAATGCAATTTCAGTAGCACGCAAACCCAGTGCCACATTGAGGAGGCAGATTTCGAAACCAAATGAGGGAACTAAGACAGCTTTATCTACTGGATGAAGTATAGCAAGTGTAGAGGAAAATACGTTCCATAAATAGGAAGAAAACTATCTAGAAGTATCAACGAAAACAAGGTGGCCATAAGACGATCTGGTTCGCCTTAGATCAGTTCCCTATCATGAGGTTTAGGAAGTTCATTTTAGAATGGAAGACACGAAGGTTCTTGTGATGAACATGACTGATACTCTATTCATTGCTTTATTCATTATTCTCTTGTTTTAATCTTCTGTATGCTGTACATATTCGCCAATTCGAATACATACATGCTGGTTGTTACGCTGCGCTGAATTCTGGATTTCTAGTTCCTCAGGTTATACCGATATACGTACAAAACTTAATTCTCACAGTTCTGTCACGTGGAGGCACCAGACATGCGTAGTAATTTCTGAACGCATGGTCCTTCAAAACAAATACAACAAACAGAAAAGCTGAACTGGACCTAAACCATGAACCTCTATGAACAACGAATCACGAACTTGGTTTGGTAACGTAGACATGGTCGAACATTGGACAAATCGAAGTATACGACTCGGAGAAGTCCGGTTCAGAGTTCACCTACGCATCGGTCACTGTGACCACTAGTGGATAAATCCAGTGAGTAAGATTACTCACCGTGGCAAACAATCACGATAGACGGTCATCCCCTCAGGAGCACTTACACAAACTTGCGTACACCGTTGTTAAGGCATATCTCCGATCTGCATCGTAACAACGCATTGGTGTCTTCAGAAAAATTGGTGACTAAAAACGTTTGCCCAAACCTGTCAAACCGAATAAAATAACCGACCGACGACCAGAAAAATATTGAAAACACCGGCTTTCGTCTGCCCATTTGAGGGGCAAACTGAATAAATGAATGTTAGTCAATCTCCCTTATTTTAAAGCTCGTGATAGGAATCGCGGTCAATTATTCAAGGATAAACTCCAACATGGACAGGTGTTCACCAACCGTGAAAATATATGAAAAAAGGCACAGAACCGGTCGTTTTCACGTAGGCACGTATGTTCACGGTATACCAAAGCAACCTTGAAATGAAGATCCTATCGGTCCGAAGACTGCCGTCTGTTTGAAAGTGACAATGCACGCTAGTTAACACCCCATTAGAATGACATTGTGATGGAATATTCTTCCATCTTATTCAAGAGACTATAGACACCCAAGGAATTATGGGTTTATTTATGGGTATTTGAACACTCACTAATCCACTTATATACACAGGATGGTGTGAATTGCTTGGGAAATACGAAGGAAGAAAACCTTTCCACAGTAGGGCAAAGCACAGAGTGGTTCATCGACTAATTACTAAATCAGTTGATCGATATCACATGCCGACAAAATCTGTTTACCGCTTGTTTAAATTCCGAATGTGTTGTTTTGCTTAACAATCATGAATCATCTATTGTATAAAGAGTTCAAAGACAATAGGGCTTAACCCGTTTGCCCCAAAAGAAAATATACTTATCAGAAGCTAACATGTTTGGACATTCCCAGAACCATGCGTTCACAAAGAAAAACCATCGTGGCCAGACGGTTTGGCTTGCTGCCTCTCGAGAGTCGTCAACAAACTGAGGATTTTAGCTTTCCTCTGGGCGCAAATTGCTGACTAGGGTTGCTTAAGCGTTATAAAACGCAATCAAAATAATATGGCACCCAAAGCACAATTCGTCTTCTTATGCATGAACTGAAAGTGGCCTGCTTACATTGTTTGGTTTGAGGGTCTAAAAACCATTAGCTCCTCGAATGGCGGTCATCGCAGTAAGTGAGAATCCGTTAGACAGATTCGAAGGATGTGAGAACAGTTCTTATTTAAACTTCAGCAAAACTTCTAACCAGTCAACATTTCAGTGACTGGGTTGTAAACGCTAATCCATTTGGCCGTGTCGTAGTCGTTCAAAAGGCCTTGAAGAAAATGACATTCAGTTTGTTTCGGTCCTAATGAAACATCTCCACTCGGAAAATCCGCAGCAGTGTATTGTGGCAGTCGGTTCTCAGTGTGTGATCATTCAGAGGGAGGTTCACCTCGACAGAAGCAAAAAACCCACTACACAAATGACATGAGAATATTAGTAGAATCCTTACTCTTACATTTTCTAAACCCTAAGAGATGCGGGGTTTTGGTTAAATGGTAGTTTTTGAGAACTGTCGTAGTGTTCTGTAAGGATTACAAACGCTTTTCTGTCAACAGGTGCAAAACTCTCTGGATCAGGCCAAAAAAGTGAACTATTCTCTTTTTGGTGGGCAAGTCCAACAGCTTCAAAATCTGTTCGACTTGCGTAACGATGGATCGATGTTATGCTTATGCGACTCCTCCGTGATGGAAACGAAATGGAATAATGAAAGTGTGTTAACACTAGTTTACCAAAGACGTCACCACAGGGCCAGTGTATTCGTATTGATCGTCCTTCCTCAGAGATTCCCTGGGGCTGCATTGGGATGTTGTTGTCCAAGTCAGGTTTTCTAAAAACAACCTTTGGAAAACTCTCGACATCTTTGAGCCCTAAAGATCAGCTTTGTGAGCGTGTGTTCTGA